AAGCTTGTCTCTTAGGTAATTCTAGATCCTATCAAGTTGACAATCATACCTAATCATCACAGAACCTGAGGAATGACACCCAAGGTTGTCCTCTGACCCCCACATACATGTGCACACATAGGCATGCTTGCACCCCCATACAAATATGTACACCTACACACAAATATACACACACATGCACAGACAGAGAAAAAGATGTTGTTGACTAGAACCTTACCTCCTAACTTCAGGAATTAGAGGGAGCTCGGGAGGAGCCCAGCCCAGGTTGGAAGTGATGTGTGGTTGTGTGAAGCCCATCTCTCTTACCTTCATCATCCTCATCCCAGTCAAGCCCCAACAGTCAGTCTCATAAATCAGCAGGTCACACTGCTTGTGTCTCCCCTGAAAGTGTCTATGGGAAGGACCCCTACCCAGCTGAAGGTACCGCAGGGGATCTCAGTGGGGAGAACGATCACAGGGAAAAGTGTCCTTGTTGCATCACATCTAGGATGCAGTCAAGCAATGTGATATCACCGTTTGTGTTGACCTGGATCCATGGATGGTCGATCGTGTATCGGGCTTCCTGACTACAAACTCGCTTCCTCACCTGGAAAGATGGCACTATGTACAGATGGAGAGCAGTGCTTTAGGGCGGAGCAGCTACACAAATCATAAATTAGTATGATATAGTGAAATCATTGGGCTGAGGTAGCTCAGTGGTAGAGCTATGCAAGGTCTTAGGTTCTACCCTCAGCACCAAGAAAGAAAAATAAGTAAATAAAAAGTAACATAATAAAATCTTAAAAGAAAAATTCAAAGCTATGCGAATATAATCCACATATCATGCAATTCATTTGTTTAAAGTATATAATTCAATTTTTTATTTAAAATATTTTATTTATTATTTTTATTTTATGTGTATGAGTGTACTGCCTGCAGGTATGTGAGTGCACCCTTGTCGCACAATGCTGCGGAGGTCAGAAGAGGGCTTCGGATTCCCCTGGAACTGGAGTTAAGGACAGTTCATAGCTGCCATGTGGGTGCTGGGAATCAAACCTGGGTCCTCTACAAGAGCAGTCAGTGCTCTTAACCACTGAGCCATCTCTCCAGCCCCCAATAATTCAGTTTTTTACATAATACCACAATCTCCCCTCTCCCCTGTGTGTGTGTGTGTGTGTGTGTGTGTGTGTGTGTGTGTATGTTATTTTGAGACAGAGACTCACTGTCTCTTTAGCTAACCCTGGCTGGCCTGGAATATGCAGACAAGGCTGGCCTGGAACTTACAGTGCTCCTCCCACCTCTGCCTCCTGAGTGCTGGGACACACCACAATCTGTTTGTAAACACTTTTGTCTGCCCTACAACTCCATGCCCATTACCCCATTCTTTGCCTCCTCTGCTTCTCAGATCTATTTTCTGTCTCTGTGGTTTGCCTTTTCTGAGCACATGACACATGAACTGTGTATCTGGCTTCTTTCGCTTGGCATCATATTTCAAGATTCACTGATGCTGGGACCAGAATCCTTTCTCCCTTCCCTTTTGTGGCTGTGAATGCATTGCATTTGTGTGGTTCATTAATGTTTGACTCATGGTTTCGGGGGATTTTTACCTTGTCATGCATGGCAGGAAAGACATGGTGGGAAGAGTGGTGTTTGTGGTGGTGGGAGCAGGTAGTATAGTGCCAGCGGTGGGTTTAACCCTCAAAGGCACATCCCCAGTGGTTTTATATGCCAGTTTGGCCCCAGGTCCCAAAGCTTCCACGACCTCTCTAAACTGCATGCTGGAGACCAATATTCAAACATATGAGCCTGTGGGGAACATTTCACACACAAATCATAACAGAAGGTTCAGAATGGGAGCCATTGCACCCTACCAATCTTGAAAACTATGAGTCCTTCACCACAGCAAGGGGAGACCCTGCCAAGGTGGCTGCCTGCTCAGCCATTGGTGAGGGCTTGGTGGGGGGGCCCTGCCAACACTGGCCTCTGTGGTGGCTTGTCCAGGCTGACAGCCCCTGCTGTACGCGGGGTCTTCCCTCAAACAAGTAGTAACTGAGTTTCTGCTTATGCAGATGCCGTCCAGGCCTGTGCTTGCCCCTCTTCCATGTGGGTGGCTAGCCTTTGGGGTGCTCCACAGTGTACTCACCACAGGTGCTGTGCCTGGGTTTCCCCATCTGACTTGAAGCATCAAGTGTTGGGAGGACATCTCAGGATCTGGCCACAGGCCTTGTGATTCTGATTCCAGGGTCTTTTCTAACTCACCACTGATACAGTTATACAGACATCCTCCGCTTACAGCTAATATCCTAACAAATCCATTTTATAAGTTGAAAGTATCATGTCAGACTTCCAGGGTAGCCCATGGATAGATGTGTGCCTAGCGAGGAAGCCAGAGGTTAGGAGCTACAGGAACTTGAAGGCCTTTGGATTTTCTCCAATATTAAGTGAGGGAGAAACATGCTCAGACCTTCACTGCCCCAAATCCATCCAGCATATATTTGGAGAATGTGTCATGGGAGGCGAGAGGGATCTCAGGGACAACAGGCAGGTGCAGGTTCAGGAGGGAGAGCAGGGCAACCATGCTAAATTACCAGGACTGGCTTATGGATGCGTCGTATGGGGTGATAGACTTTGAGCCACCAGGAATTTACCATGTCAGTTGTAACTGGGTAGAGGCAATCTTAGATCAGGCTTCTGCTGAGTCACCTCTAAGCGGAAGTGACAGGCTAGAGACAGGTCGCTAAACTTTAGCCAGGCTCAGGAGAGTACTACAGGCCTCACTGTCCTCCATGCCAAGCTTTCAAGGGTCCCGGAGGCCCAACAGGGGCTGAGTACCTAAGTACAGGCACCTTGGATTAAAGATGGGTATGGATTCAAACTCTGACCTTGGTTCTTGCCACCTGTGAGAGCAGAAACAGCATGTTGGATGGTTTTCAGTCTCACTTTCATCATCAGTGGAGCAGATGCATGCCTGGTCCTTTTCTGTGGGCATTACTATGGAGTTGTTTTTTTCTTTTTTTAAATCTATGTCTGTGTGTGTGTGTGTGTGTGTGTGTGTGTGTGTGTGTGTGTGTGAAAGACAGACAGAGAGAGAGAGAGAGAGAGAGAGAGAGAGAGAGAGAGAGCCATCTCACTGTAGGAGTAGTGAGACTGCAGACATGCGCCATCACATGAGTTCTTGGGCTCCAAACTCAGATTCTTATGCTTCCATAGCAAGCGCTTTACCTGCTGAGCCATATCCCCAACCTTACTATGGTACTTTTCTGAGGACTGAGGGGACTATGAAGGGGAGCTGAGAGTGGGGCCGGAAGAAGGTGCAACCCATAAGATGGGCTGTCTCTGTGGGAGGAAACCCAGTTTATGTCCCGCTCAAGTGCCAGGTACAACACCAAATGTACAACATCCATCTTTCAGTAACTCTGTGAACAGCACTGTGGCTAATTGGTTCACAGAGGAGACCTGGGGACCTATCCTTTATGGTTTTGGGAGATGACACAGATGTCAGACCCACTCATGCCAGGCTCATGCCCCTGGGTCACCTGCCTTGGTGGCCAGTGGCTGAGGCTATGCCCCTGGTTAGGCCATACTATAGGGAGGAAAGTATGACTGAAGCTGTGGTCATCGGGAGGGACCTTGTCCACAGTGAAAGAATTCCCTTAGCTTCTAGTCAGCTCAAAAGGAGGGGGTCTTGGCAGTCCAGACTTGGCGTGCCTGGCATGCCAGAAGGGTCCCTCCTTTCAACACAGTAAGTCTGAGGGTCAGCATCCACAGGCAAGGGAGATGGTGGAAGGAACTGCTTTTCTCTGGGCTTCCTTTTGTTTCTTTTAAGTTTTGTACCATGATCATGTATTCCGCATTCAAAAAAGGTAATAAACATTTGGGAATACAAGCTCATTGCAGAACACCAAACACCATAAAAAGTGAAAACAAAGTCATGGGGCTGGGCTCAGTGGTAAAACATGTTTAGTTTATACGAGGTGGGGGGGAGCAGGAGTGAGAATGAGAGAGAGAGAGAGAGAGAGAGAGAGAGAGAGAGAGAGAAAGAAAGAGAGAGAGTAAAGAGATGTCAAAAGAGATCACCAATAATTTTACCACTAGACCCTGTTGAAAAGAATTCTCCACTTACTTATAGATACTATCTTATTTCCAAGTTATCTATCCCACAGGATGTCATATAATCAACTTAAACTGCCTCCTGCTGTGGTACATTTAAGTTGCTCCCAATATTTATTATGTGCAAATAGTGACCACTTTCTTATTCATGAATGTCTAGGAATGCTCGTAATTACTAGAAGCTCCTGCCTATAGGCCTTCTGTGTCACAAATATTTTTGAAAGGCTTTTGCTAGATACGTCAAATTGTCCCCAGAAGAGCCACCCTGATTTGCTAGAATCATTTCCTGCACTGAAAGCAGGATTCACCTCTACATTTCTGCACAGAAACCTTAGTCCCTGAAAGACCTTTGCTAGCATTGGCCTGTGTCACACAGGTGTGGGCACATTGACTTAAAAACTAGCTCAGCTCTGCAAGGCAACTCATGTTTTTAAGGACAGTGACCAGCCAAGAAGGATGTGTAGGAATGTTTGTGCTAGCTTGGCTTTAATCAAGTTGGAGGTGGAATCACTGCCTGTGTCCACCCAGACTAATCAGAAAAGTTGTTTGCAGGGTTCTAGAATGTTTGCCAGGGAGGAATGTGTCCCACTTTGCAAGTGGTTGGGAATGGAGAGTTGTCAGGAAGAGCAACCCCATCCACGGACCCATGGAAGAGTCTGCTTAGATGGGTGTGGCTGCTTTGCCCTCCTCTATGGTGGGATACCTTAAGACACCAGAAAGGCCCAGCCATTTGAGCCAGAACAGAGGACGTTTGGGGATCTGGGAGAAGTCATCCTAATGAAATTAACGCAGTGGAGGCGCAGTGGGGCGTGAACCGTTATCAAGCTGCCGGTGCCAAGGCGCAGCTCCGAGCCAGGGACATGGCCATCCTCCTCCCTCCTGCTGCAAAGTGTTCCCTATGCCCAGGTGCCATGTGCAAGATCAGCGACATGGTGAAGCGCGCCAGGGACTCCTTCAACTCCGGCCAGACACGCCCGCTGCAGTTCCGAATCCAGCAGCTGGAGGCGCTGCGGCGGATGATCACCGAGCACCGGCAGGACATCGCAGGCGCGCTTGGCTGCAGACCTGCACAAGGTGCTGCCGCCCTGGGGGCAGAGGCTCGAGGGAGAAACTGGCAGAGATGCCACCCGAGCCGGAGACTGTCACTCCTGAGTATGGGGCATCAGTTTCACGCCGCGCTCAGGGCTACGTGTCCAGCACTTTACCGAGGACTTTACCCCAAACACTGCGCGTGTCATGACCGTATCATTAGGGGAAAGTGAGGCTCGGAAAGAGCAAGACTAGCAGAGTTCGGCCCATCAAAGACGTGGCGCACCCCCTTCTCCTTCCACCTTATCCCCCACCGCACCCCCAGCGCATGCCACCATTGGGCAGGGTCTCCTTCCCGCCATCTGTCATTTTTCCTTTCTGGCTTGTCTTCTTCGTTCACCCATTTCAACCACTTTCTGCCCACGTGACATCCCGAACTTCTGCCCCCCACATTCCTCTGCCCTCAGCTCCCTCATAGGACTACCTGGTTCTCCACATCAGGGAAGGACTACCAGCAAGGCTACTCTCCAGAGGGATCTGGCTCGGCATGGCCTCCTCCTTACTGTGGCCTTGGAGTCCGCCATCCCTTGATCTGAGCAAAATCAGGCACCTCCAAATCCAGAAGCCTTCACCTTGTTGCAGGACTCACTTGATTTTTCCTCTTCCTGTGAGGAGAAAAGGGCTTTGGGAGTTCAGAGCTTTGGTGCCTATCCTCTCTGGCGTCTGGGCTCACCCACCATGTGCTCTCCTTTTTTCTTTTAGCCCCAGCTGGCCTGGAACTCTGTATGTAGAGCAGGCTAGCTATGATCCCTCAGAGTTCGCTCTGACTCTGCCTCCTGAGTGATGGGATTAAAAGCTTGAACCACCACACCCGCTAAAGCAAGCAAGAAAACATTCTTTAGACTTTCCAAAGTTCATGAAAGATGTGCACTTTTGTTGCCTGTGATCCCTCTTTACTGCCCCCTGCCGCAATTCCAGGAGGCCCTGAGGCCCCCAGCAAGCCCCATCCCCTGCTCAGTCCCTGCCTCCCTATGGTGGGAGTCATGGCTTTTCCCCCTGACTCTTGTGGGTGCCTCTTCCCATGTCTACTCGGCAGTGTAGTCTCCCAGGCTCTTTCCCAGGTTCAGGGCTCCTTGTGGTCTGTAAGCCTTCCAAACAACCCATTTTTCCCCTCTCAGATGCCCCTCAAACCCATGCCCTAGCCAAGACTGGCTTCACTCATTCCTTCAGCAGCTCTGTCCCCAGGAGGCACCTTCAGTCCTCATGCAGGAGGGCGGTATCCTCCAAATTTTGGGGAGGAGGGGGCTCTCAGACCTACCACTCAAACGGCCAACTCTGGTTAGCTCTGTTTCTTTTTTGTGCCTTCTCTGCACCCCACCTCCATTCTGTGGACCCCATGATGAGCGCCAACTCACATGGCAGCAGAACCTTGCTCCTGGGACTCAAGCTTATATGGAGTTTCTTTCTAGGATGAATGGACTGTTTACTATGAGGAGGTGGTTTATGTGCTGGAGGAGAATGAGACCACAGTTAAGAGACTCCGGCAGTGGGTTACAGATGAGCCAGTGGAGAAAACTCCCCAGACCCTGCAGGATGAGTCCTACAGCCACGTGGAACCCCTAGGTATGGTCCTTGTCATAGGGATCTGGAACTACCCCTTCAACCTCACCATCCAGCCCATGTTGGGCACCATTGCTGCAGGTATGAGGGCTCCATTCTGGGAGGCACTGTCACAGGAGGCTGTGGTGACATTTACCCAGGCCTCCAGGTACCCAAGGCCAGCCTGGCATACGTGTCCACATAGCCATCCTCCTCCCAGTTGTGGAGTGTGGGAGTGGGGTAAGATGGAGTTGTGGAGTCTCAACTAATATGTATAAAGAAGGACAGTATTGCTATTCCACTCAGACCTGGGCATCTCTCTCCATGTCCTTTCTTTTCCCCTAGCACTGCTGAGGGGCAGGTGGTACAGCTCAGGTCAGAATGTGCCAGTGTGTGTACTTGTGACAGGTGCTCATGTGTGTTCTTCTGTGTGCACCTGCAGTGTGTTCTTATTTGTGTATCTATGTGTGTGTGTGTGTGTGTGTGTGTGTGTGTGTGTGCGCGCGCGCTTCTCAGCCTGTGCCTGTATGTACTCATGACATGTACCCATGTGCTAGCCTTTTTCCTCCACTTTTCCATGGTATAGATGATGGAGTAGAAGCTCTAGGCCTGGCCATTGGGTGGGCAGAGTCTTTGAGGTCTCCTGAGGATGTCTCTGACTCTGCTCTGCAGGGAATGCAGTGATCCTCAAGCCCTCAGAAGTGAGTGAGAATACAGCAGACCTTCTGGCCACCCTTATCCCTCAGTACATGGACAAGGTGAGGTGTCTTCCAGGGCTGAAGGATAACTAGGGGTGGGGGGCAGTTCTTTAAAGTTTGAGAAATAGTGAATTCTCATAGCAAGGAGCCTAGTCACAGGTGGAGAGACTCTTGCCCCTAGCAACTGGGTGAGTGGAACCCCATGAGCTAGGAGAGGGGATCTATTTGCTAGGGTGGTCAGGTAAGCTACAGAGCTGAAGCTTTGGGACTGCCGGTTTTAGCTACCATCCACACCAGGCGTGGAGTGAGGAGAGGCTTGGTTTGTTGTCTTCTCTTTCCCTTTGTTAGAAGGATCTGTACCCAGTGATCAAAGGGGGTGTCCAAGGTGCTCAAAGAGGGTGCTCAAAGGGGGTGTCCAGAGGTGCTCAAAGAGAGATTCGACCACATCCTATACACTGGCAGCACAGCTATAGGGAGAATTGTCATGATGGCTGCTGCCAAGCACCTAACCCCTGTCACCATGGAGCTGGGAGGAAAGAGCCCCTGCTACGTGGACAAGGATTGTGATCTGGATGTGGCCTGCCAGTGAGGCTTGGGGATGGCTGGCTACAGCAGCCAGCCCTACTGCCTACCCTCCAACACAGGATGGTGCTAAGCCCTGTGGCCCTGCACCAAGTAGCAAACTTGGTCCCCACCTCTGTGGAGCCTGCTGTTCTTGGATGGTAGAAGTTGAGGGAACACCATCATAGAAGTCTTCCTAGAGGAAGCCTCCATGGAGAGCTTTGGCTCTGCAGGCATTACTAGAGAGGTGGTGCTCCAAGTAGAAGCTCAGCTTCAGGAAAAGCAAGTGTGAGGCACTGAGGGCATGGAGACCTTTGCCAAGCCCAGTGGCTCCTCTATGAAGAGCTCATCTGAGATCTGGAAAGTATCACAGGAAAGCAGGACCACAGCTGTTCAGGGCTTGTATCTATACTAGTCAGGCTTCTGGCCATCTCTGTACCCCACAAAAATGGTCCTTCAAGATGGAGGGGTACAAGTAGAGGTGTCACCTGGCTATGGAAGGGTGATCAGAAGCACAAAGCACTCACTCCAGATGTCCTCAGAAATTCCCCACCAACACCCCTGAGGTTAGCAAGGCTGAGTGCAGGAGCCCCTGTGATGGGGCATGGCTGGGCTGCTTGTTCCATGTCTGAAAATCAGTGGTTGCTTAGGAGGGCCCTCTGGAGGCAGCACCCAGATTATGGGCTGTCCTGTGCTCATCCCTTAGTGCCTTGCTCAGGGAACTCCTGTGAGTCACAGAATGCATTTTCACAGACGCATTGCCTGGGGGAAATTCATGAACAGTGGCCAGACCTGTGTGGGCCCTGACTACATCCTCTGTGACCCCTCTATCCAGAACCAAATTGTGGAGAAGCTCAAAAAGTCACTGGAAGTGAGTATGGCTCTGAGAGTAGGAGTCAGGAGCTGTGAGGCACCAGGTCTTGGTGTTGTGCCTCAACCAACTTTTACAACTTTGGGAAATACCTGGATATTTTTTCTTCTTATCATAAGGGAAACACACATACATTACAGATAACCAGGAAAAGATTAAAAAGCATAATGGAGGAAAACCCTCCACCAGAATCCCAGCACCTAAAGTCAGTCACTGCTTATAGAGGCCGGGAGTCACTGGCATGACAAGGGCCTGGTCTTCCCTGAAGCCTCATTTCTTCTCAGGAATTCTATGGGGAAAATACTAAGAAGTCCCATGACTATGGGAGAATCATTAACGGCCGGCACTTCCAACGAATCGTAGGCCTGATAAAGGGCCAGAAAGTAGCCGATGGGGCCACCTGGGATGCAGTTGCCCAATACATAGGTGTGTGCTCTGCCCTCAAGAATGCTACCTGCCTGCCTGCCTGCCTGCCTGCCTGCCCG